CAGTATTTTGAAGTTTACAATCCATACTAATCCCCTTTTTCTGTCTCAACACAAAATACGCAATTATTAACAATTATTGTAAGTTATGCTGGGTTTTCTGGGGATCTATTGCATACAAAATACTAAAAAGGGAGAAGTAAAGAGGAAAGAAAGAGAATGAAAAGAAGGAAGTGGCGGAAGTGGCGGAAGTGGCGGAAGGGCGGAAGTGGCGGAAGTGGCGGAAGTGGCGGAAGTGGCGGAAGGAAGGAAGGAAGGAAGGAAGGAAGGAAGGAAGGAAGGAAGGTCACATTCAAGAAAGAAAAAAAGTTTTTTCAAATTTGATTTAGAAAGATGAACAGGTAAGTATAATGTGTAAATTAATATATATTTAATGAAGAGAATAAATATATTTTTTAAACAACAAAAAAATGGTACTAAACCAAATAAAAAGCTTAGAATGAAGAGATAAACAAAACCTAAAGTGACTTCAAAATGTGCAAAACTTCAATCCGCTTCCAGCCACTTGGCCATACTCCCTAGGTCATTTTTGTTCTGTGCCCGCCATGAATTCACAAGGCATACTTCCTTCCCTCTCAAGGGTTTCCATTGACCAATGATTATTTACTGTTCTACACATTAATTCTTCCAGGCCACAGGTAATTGGAATGGTATCAGAATGGTTGAGCTCTCAGGAAAATTAATTATTGGGGAATATAGAGGAATACAGCACTCAGCAGGTGAGCAAGAAGTTCTTTTAGGCATAAAGCAAGAAAGGACAGAATCTGATCTGTTACCTGAATATTAAAAATCTATTACCTGATTTATCTGATCTATACTGAATCATCTCCTGGGAAAGGACAAGTGCATTTCCAGAACTGGTGAGACTACCAGAGGGCATTGCAGCCTTATCATGAGCTGTCCTTTAAGAGAACTGAGGGAGGGACACCAGAGATGCGTTCAGAGTCGTCCAGAAAACAGGCTGGGAGGATTGTAATAGTGCTGCAAAGCAATAAATCAAATGAGACAGAGGAAAAAACTGGGGGAAAAAAAAAAAGAAAAAAAATTAAAAATACAACATTCAAACTCAGCAATCTGCACGTTCAGCACAGCAATGGCAGGTTTGTGGGATATCATCACTTTCAGCAGCCAGAGCAGGGGTGAGGGGGAAAGGCTGTAACAGACACTGCAGAAGGGGAGGAAATGGGATTTTGGTCCTCAGTGCTTCCCTGGGTACTGTCACAGGGACAGGCTGTGCTCTCAGCACTTGCAGTGCTTCACCCTTGGCAAGATTCCTGCAGGTCCCAAGGGGCCAGGCTGAATTTCAGCAGGACAGTGAGGTAATGTCTTAGAAATGCATTGTGTGCTTGGTGTGCACTGACACTGGACATTTTTACACCCTGCACTTCTCTTCTCTTCTCTTCTCTTCTCTTCTCTTCTCTTCTCTTCTCTTCTCTTCTCTTCTCTTCTCTTCTCTTCTCTTCTCTTCTCTTCTCCCTT